ACTGAACGTTGTTTGTTAGACTGTGGTGCGAATAATATCAAGGTTGCAGGTTTGATCTCTGGTTGGACAAGATGATCTCTTGAGGTCCCTTCCAACCTTACTTCTCTCTATGATCTGGTCTGAAAGTGGTAATACACTATGTTATTGGACTATTTCACTATTCTGTACAAATATAGTGATCTAGCTTAGTTGGAAACTACTTGAAAAGCAACCACAAGAACAATCAAACAGCTAACTTCCAATAAACATGTGTGACACAACTACAGACAAGAGCAATATTTTTGCCACAGCTCAGAATCTAGAGATCAAAAAGGAAATATATGGTAAAAAAAGGACTGCCTTCAGCCCAAAGGGAGAAGTTACGAATGTGTTGTTCCTAAAGAGGAACTAACAAATTCCATAAAAAAAGTCCAAAACAACTGGGCTCTTCCCAGACCTCCTGGAAATGGTAAACCTTAAAGAAGCTAGGCAAATAATAGTCTGACTAATGTTTAAAACACATTTTCTATTAAATTATGTGGTTCTAAGTAATACTTTTCTTTAAGAAGGCTCCCTGGTCACCAGACAGAAAGATCATTGCTCTTGAAGGCAACATAGCTTCCGGTACTGACCTTGAGACAGTCCTGGTTAGTGGCTAGAGCCTGCGGCCCAAGACCTGTTCTGAGCATAAAAGTAATATTACACCCTGAGGATGCTAGCATCTGATATCTGAGTGGAAGTGGACTAGGAGAGACCAAGAGGGCCAGAAGTACAGCTGGCCCAGGAACTGACAACCACCATGAGGAAAATGAGATTTTAAAAATTAAATTAACTTAAAACGTATTTATTTCCATCATTATCTCTTTTAATTTCTTAAACATCTGTGGAGCTTACTGCACCAATTATTTTATTATAAAATGTTGGGGTTTGATGTCAAGCAGAAAGCAATACCTGTAATCTTTAAATGCCATGGTTTTATCAGCAGTGCTATTAATTTTATTGTTGTTTTTTTGGCAAACAATGATTTTCTGGTCAAGTAGTCCAATTGGTTAGTTCAGAGTTTTGACACTTCTTGGCTAGCAGCTTAGGTGAACACATACTTAGTCCCTGGGGAAAGCAACACAGCAATCCATTATTCATGGAAGAAGACCAATAATTGTCAGAGAAGACCCACATCTCAGCCTCCTAAAATAAAAAGCATTTTGTACTTAAGGCCCCCGGACTATCAGATTTACAGCTGGCCTTTTTTTCATTAAAAATAGATGGTTAAGCTGAAAAGGAAATGCTAAAAAGGAAGTGAAAATAGCTGCTTTTGCTGGTGAATTATAGTATGAAAAAGAAAGGCCATAATATTTAGAAGACTCCTCTATAAAATCTTGAAAACTGTTTCACATGGCAAAGGTGGCAGACAAAGGTTGATTTAAGTTGATCACATTATCTGAGTTTTTAAACACCCAAAGTTACTTTAGCCAGCACCTACACAGCCAGCTAAAACATTACATGCAAATATAGTTAAGAAATGGCACCATCTAGTGTTAATTTCTAGCTTTAACAATATCTGAACATCTACTAAAATAAGCTTTAGAAGCAACAAAAGCAAGTTATCAAAGTTAAATTATACAGCAATCACAATCCCCAACAATCATAAGAGAAGCACCTGGAAAAGTCGGCTTCATCTGAGCAGAAAGACAGGACTATGTCAATTTAACCCTCTCCCAAGGCTATATCCCCCAAATCATGGGAGTCAAATACTTGCTTGGAGAAGGCCAATTTCATTTAAATTGTGGGCCACCGGCTACAAACTTAGAGCCACAAGGTACCCCAATCTACACCAGTGCTTCTATTAATGACTGTATGCAGTTTATGCAAAACTCAGAAAACGACAGCCTGTTCAGAATGATTAAAATAACAACAAAGCTGTTCCTGCTTTAAATGAGCGTTCCAGTCAGCACTGAGTGGAAAAGACAACAAAAGGCCACCACTTCTATTTGTCCCCTTTGTGGTTACTTGTGCATTTCACTAGTTGTTTGGCATGCATGACTGAGCAAAGTAAATTATCTGTAAAATCATAGCCTTAACTTAGAACTATGACATCTGCACTGCACCCACAGACAAGGACTGCACAGTTCTCACTGTGCTGGCCAAAGTAAGACAGCATTATGCTACATTGGGTCACAGTTGGAAAGTTATCTTTGCAAGCTTAAGTACTAGCACTGATTTTAAAATGAGAATTTTTATTCTTGAAGCAAGGTTCTCTCAGGGTGATCCAAGTGGATAAGAGCCAGCCATACACAGGAGATTAGATAAGAGTAGTAAAACCAATTGTAGCTCAATTTTCTAACTCACAAACACATAAACAGATGCCTCAGCTGTGAATGGGATCTCAAAAAAATATTTTTCCTGTTTCTTCAAGTGCTGAGGAGGCAGCCAAATAAATCAGAAATGGGTATTGTAAAAATCAAGTTTCAAAGCCTGGCAACATCTTACTTTCTCGTTGCAGAGTCTATATCTTCCCTCTTTTTTTTCCTTTAGAAAAAGAAATCTGATTTTATTTACATCCATTTTTTAATCTAATTTAAATAAGAAACTTTTCTTTTTAGAAATGAACCTGCTTTAAATGAAATCTGAATGTAATAAAAACATGGGTGGGGGGGGAGGGAAAACTTTAGTGGGATAGCATTGAAAATAAAAGGTACGTTTTCATCTCTCAGATGTAGTCTACACTGAAAAGGATTTGCCAGTCTAGCTATCCCTTCTAGCACAGGCTCAGAACCTACCAGAAAAAAACCCATGGTTTTGCTGTTCTACCTTATACTAGATGCCTGGACAAAATAAGCTACACACACAAAACCACTTTGTAAAATTGACATAAAATTGTATCAACCAAGAGCTTTTGCCAATATAAAACACCATACCCTTGACCAATGCTTTAAAACCACAAGAGTTTCTAACACTAACCAGGGCTATGTCATTTTCAAATCTATCAGAGATCACAATACTTGGTTTCTAGTGGATAGATTACTTTCACATCACAAAACTATCCTTACAAATGGCAGTCTTTGAATTAAACTCTCCCTCCTGCAGAAGTCTTACTAGCATAGCTGATCTTGCCCTGCCTCTCCCATAGCTGTTTTACTCCAGTCCAGAGCTCTCAAGTCTCTCAACATCTTCCAAAAGTGCTAAATTTGTCTTTAAAGTGATCAGCAAAAGACAATAGGGCTTGCATCCTTTTTCTCATGATCTAAAGCAGGGAACAGCAACCTATATGGAGTGCTGGGCCAAAATAAGGCAGCTGGATCTGAAGGCAAGTCCCTGTTTGTGACCAACTACACTCACTACTCCAAACTGCCTAATGACATCCCAGCCCTCCCTGCTCTGTGCCAAGGGCTGCTCTCTCACCCTCACATGCCCGCTACTGGAGTTACTGCTGCTGCCACCTCTTATCCTTTGCCACTGGTTCCCATCACCACCAACTGCCACAAAGTGACAAAATCAGCAGTGAGAAAAGAAGTGCCTACATTAAGGGCACACCTGAAAGAGCACACAGGGAGGGTTAAGGCAGCAGCACAAAGTTCTAAAAACAAACAAACAAACAAAAAAACCCAGTATGGCAAAGCAGTGCGCGCAGGCAGATGTGCTCTTCACCCCTACTTGGGCCACTGCATCATGGGCTGGATGCAATTGCTTGGTAGGCTGGATTGGGCCCGGTGGCCATAAGTAAGGATCTACTTAAAGCATGCTGAGATAAAGAGGGGGAAAAAAAAAAAAAAAAAAAAAAAAAAAAATTCGCAGGATGTCTGCAGCACCCAGCACCATTTTCAATTTTTTTTCCCAGTGACCCCCCCCACCCTGCACTGATTGGCAGAGGGGCCCTGGTAGTTCCACCCCTCACTGCTGATTTATATTCTACTCTTTGTCATTTATGTCTGATTAAGTGTGAATGAAGTGCAATTAATGTCACATTTACTTTACAAGGATACATATCACTATACATTGTGTTAAGCAGCAGGCAATCAGGTTTTAATAGGTTTAACTGACACAGTACTAGTATTATTCACTTAAAAAATAGGCAGTTTAGCTCCAAGAACTAAATCCTTTTAAAAACAAGCAGGGGGTCATTTTTGTCCTGTTTTATAACCTAATCCTTCTCTCCCCATCTTCAAAAGTTGCTTTCCTTCATGCTTCCTATGACTGTCCTGCTGCTCCGTCACATCAGTAATATTTGCCTGTTTTACTGTTGCTTATAACCATGTTAAGCAGCTAGGTCAGTGCAATCACTAAGAAAGATGATAACTGCATATGATATATCTCTTGTAGGCAGGGCCGCCCCTGGGGGGCGGCAAATCGGGACGAATATTCCGGGCCCCACGGTCAATGCTGCATAGGCCCTGCTACAGCCACCATGCACCACCAGCTCTGCTGCTGCCGCCAGCTCTAGTCGCTCACCACCCCCCC